CATTAATGAAAAACAAAATGAGCGTGCATCCTGCATTCAAGTAAGCTAACTCCTAACCCCTGCACTTGTTGACTCAGATTGCATCATTCAATCACAGAATTTTTCAGAGGATCTTACTAGAATAGGTAAGGAACAACTAGAGATTCAAGGCTCAATCTGGAAGAGTGTGGATCCCCAAGTGTCTGATTCACAAGGAAAAATTCCATAAAGATGTCCCACTTTAAGCCCTGGGCAAAAAGTTCATACACAGATTCCTGCTTACTCACAATTGAAAAAAACCTCAACCCTAAACACCAGCAATCAAGGTTGACAGGTGGCAGTCTGAACATTTCTTCATTAACATGTGATTCCACACAAGAACCTAAAGAGAAGATTTTGAAGGAAAAAATAAGATGAGAAACATATAAAGGAAATTCACCTGCTTCCTTCACCAGCTACTCATAAAAACAACTTCAATGTGCCAAATCACAAAACTACTAAAATGGAGAGCTCCTTGTGATCCAGGAAAGGCTACAACACTGCTAAGAATTTAACAGTAAGGGCGTTCTGCCAGTTCTGTTTCATCAGTAACTGGTATCTCAGAGCTGTCTGATAGAGGTAAGGCTAGCAGAGGAAGCAGTGCTCAAACCACTTCTGAAAATCTGCTTAAGAATTTGCAGGTTTCTGGCTTATCTATCAAAATAAATGAGAGGGAAGGAGGGGGAAGGGAGAGAAAGAATGGGAATAACTTCACTATATACTTGAAAGCAGTCAAGTAGTTCTGCTCTTCAACTATGTGAGAGACCTTTTTTCCCTGCAAAAGAAAGCTTCTTTTCTTACATGGACTCGATGGGTTGGTTTGTCCTTCACAGCTGAAGAGGCTGTTTCAACCACTAATTGCTTCTGGTTAGGGGGGGGAAAAAAAATAAATAAAAAAATGTTTATTCCACAAGCATGGCTCTCTGCCTTTAAAATGTAGAAAGGTCAGAGTGCTTGTGGGGTTTTCTGTTTGTTTTATATCAATAACAGAAGGCAAAAGCAGACAGCAATGCAGATACCCAAGTCAGCTCTAAATCCATGGAGCTCCAGAAATGGAAACAGCCTGGTTGTCATAGCAGCCAAGCTGATACCTGAGCTAATTAGTCAGTCTGAGAGGCAGAGCTAATTAGCCCAGCTGCAGCATCATACTGACACAGTTATAATCCTTCTGGGACCTGGGCATGCATGTTGCTGATTAGACATTTCAGCTTGCTTGCAACTAGCTCAGAGATCTCAGCATTCTACACTGTGCTTTACGTAAGTGTTCAAAAAAAAAAAAAAGAAAAAGAAAAAAAGCAAAAAACTGTTCCTACAAAGAAGAAAGCAATGGAAAAGAGCTCTCAAAAAACCCCAGAAAACTCCGAACACTAATCTGCCACTCTTCTGCAAGAGAGGAGGATGCCCATATCCACAATGCTACAGACCAAACTACAACATTTGAAATGGAAATCTCAGTAGTATGGATACACTTCCAACCCCCAGCCAAGTGAAAGTTATTTGAAAAATTGGTTTATCATTACAATAACCTAAATTCAAAAAGTTTCCTGTTATCTAAAAATGCAAAACCCTAAATTAAGTTCCTGACAGAGAAGTAAGAAGGTAAATACAACATGTGGAAAATAAATACCTACTACAAACTGTTTTTTTCAAGGACTGGAAACAGCATTTATTTGCTGTTTTTTCCAGGAAGAAAAAGTATTTTAAAACTAACTTTTTCATCTTTCTAAGGTACCATGTGACACAAGATCCTCCCTCCAGAAACAAAAAGTGAATAGGTGAATTTATCAGTCCTTGTTAACCATTTTTCTGCCACAGAAATAGAATGTAACATCATGGAGAACACTACACAGATAAACTGTGAAAGGCAGGGAATTTTGTTGGTATTCTTAAAGAAAAAAATGGCAAGATAAAGGAAAAGTTCTTTAAGAAACTATTTTCACTTCTTTGTAATCAAAATCAGCAAAGGCATCAAATGTACAGATTGAGCAGGCGATTTAGTGGAAAGATGGCACGAGAAGCGATTTAACTCCTGTGCAAATCTAATCATTGAATTGAGATGCTTTTGGTAGTTCAATAGGACAAACTTCTCATTTATACCAAATGATCCTTTAAAAACACAGAAAGATTACTGAATTCATGCTAAAAGCAAATCTCTCATGTTTTAATGGACATTACTGTATGAACCAGAACAGATTATATAGAAAGTAACTGATTAAATAGATACTCAGAGGAGTTGACAAAGGACAGATGTGCTTGAATGTCTGGTTTATATTTATTCAATTTTAAGTTGCACAGATCTTAAGTTCATCTGCAAAATACATTAATTTTACAATTTTTTAGTATTAATAATTTACATAGCATGCCTGCTTATTCATATTTATAATAGATCACTTCTCATTTCAGGAACATCTCTAAGCAAAGCTGGAGGATGCCAAGATGTTCATTCAAGCGTATGTGCTGCCCAATAGTATGGGATAAATATATAAAAATCAATGTTTCTCTAAACAGAAAGATATTTTTGTCAGGGTCAATACTGTTGCTAAATAAAACAGTTTGGTGCCTAAGTGATTTCTAGTTAAAGTCAGAAAATAGGCACGTGCTCTTCGCCTGCTTAAAACTTTTGAAAGAAATGTCATGCTAAGTGCATTTTACATGCATTGAGATATCAAATAATTCTAAGCACTGTTAAAATGGTAGATCCATAAACCTAGCACTACTTTCAGAGTTTCCTAAGGAACCTCCTCCTAAGCTGTTTGTCCTCCTTCCTTCAAGTCAATGATCACAAAGTTAGATATATTATCAGCAAGCATTTAGATCCAACACTGGGAAAGAAGGCTGGAGAATCAGCAACAATGTTAGTGGAGCAAACTGAAAAGAAAATTAAGGAATATTAAGGAAGATAAAGCAGCCATTGAGATTCACAAGGAGTTGTTATTTATCAGAAATGGAAACAAACAAGAATGTCAACAAAATCTTTAAAGGGAAATAAAAATGTCATAATAGAGCATATAATCTTCCTATGAAAAAGAAATTTGGTCTTCCTCACAAAATACAGGAAATACCCAGATTTACATACCTCATTTCCATTAAGGACAGCTTAGTATACATTTTACCCTAAGTGGGGTAAAATCTCTTTTGATAAAGTTTTTACTTATTCTAGAAAACAGGCATGTTACTGCAAATTGGAAAGAACAGAACTGTTTGCCAGGATTTTAACCCTGTTTACAGCTGTTACTGTACCCACTGCAAAAATTCCAACACAGAAATAAATCCCCCAAACACACTATAAACTCAGGGGATAAGTCATTTTTGTTTCCTTTCTCCTATCATTGCTGTTTGGAACCAGAAGGCCACTAAAGCAAGCTCAGAAGAGAGATATCCCTGAGGGTACAAAGCAGAGTACTGAAAATGGATAGAAAGTCACCGTTAAAAAAAAAAAAAATAAAAAGAAGAAAGTAAATGACATCAGCCAATTGAAGCGCTGCTGCTTCACAGCCAATAACAGAAAGCTTTTCTGGGAAGCAATTGCTTCAGCAGCATATGGTTGACAGTGGGCATTCAGCCTGCATCAATCAGTAACAAAAGGTTTAAAAAATATGAATCTTTGGAGATTATAAGAGCACTGCTTTCTCTAACAAGGAGAAAGAAAGGAAGTAGAAATTAGAGAGCAGCAGGGGAATGAAGATATATTTATGACATGCCTCTACCAAAAGCTTGCATCAACAAGAAAAAAAAAAACACATATGGCCAAGGATCCCTTTTGTTTAATGCTGCCCAAATTCTTAGAAAGAAGCTTGTGGTTTGTGTTTTTTTCCCATATACACCTTTAGGAGAGTGTTAGAAAAAAGCAAACAGAATACAACTACTTTCACATAAGCTGCCAAGCAAGTCTGAAAAATATTTTAGGGAATCTGTGTGAACAGTACAGACATTGACACAGGCTGGTAATCTAAACCCTAAGCTTCAGCCCTTTCACAGAATGCTTCCAGAGTTTCAGCCTTTCCTGTCATCCACAAAATAAGTTTATTTCCTTAAGCTATGAAAAAGGGTTGCTGAAGCTGCTGACAGCTCATATTTCTCTTCTCTGTTGCTTTTAACTGTACTTGGGACTTCACCTTATACTTAAGAAGGAAGAAAAGGGACTTCTACCCTTCTACTTGATGTCTAAAGGTATATTCCCATATCAGTTACAAAATGAAGAAAAATAATTTCTGAATTGCGGGTTATTTCCAATTCTACTCAAAGTAAATTATAGGAAGCATCCAGAAACAGTATTTGGTTCTGGGTGCTACAGAGAGAGTAGAGCTCTGTCTTTCTCTCTTTTCAAGGCTGTGTTAAGTGAAAAAAGACAACACATGAAAAATTCATTAGAAGGTACAGTGTGGCAACAGAATGCTAGGAAGACTGACTGCCACAAGCTTGGTAATGGAGACTGCTTAAATAGCGTATATAAGGCAGGCCACTTGCTGCTGACTTGATACAGTATTACAGAGGAAGAAATAAGATTGGTGCTTCATCCAGAAGAAATCTTTCTTGGTAATCAAAGCCAACTGAAGCCTGACTCCTTCCTCTTCAGTTTAAAAACCCATCATTTCCCTAGAAAGAAAGAAAAAATAGCAAAGTTAAGGTATAACTACATCTACTAATTCTTGTAATTTAAAAATGGGGAGGAAACAGAAAGGGGAAGTAAAGATACGCCTACCTTGATTAACAGATCTTTTGTCTCCTTTTGCTGACGAGTAGAGTGTCTCTGTGAGGATTTGTACACTTTAGGATGACAGGAAAGTGAGAAAAAGAAAGGGTAGGCCCTTGACAAACAAGCTTTAAATAAAATTATTCCTGAACGTAGACAATATTTCTATATAAACCATGCATATGAGGTGTACCAAGCCATGTGCCTCCCACATCTTTACATTTGCACTAATACACGTTTGTATAACTGTCAGATTTATTCTATACAACTTGTTTCCAACGTTCTGTACCTCGACATCCTGAACACTGGATAAAGAAGTTGATTAAATCCAGAAGTGCTATGTCCCTGTCTTGTTTATATGATTCAATCCAGTCGTCCACCACAGACTGTCAAGAAAAAAAGAATACTTATCAGAGACTCTTAGAAAGTATTTTATTAAAGGCAAATGACTTATTCTTTTCATAATATAATTTTATAACTGAGCATTTATTTTGCATAATTATACATGTGTACAAATTCAGATATCTATACACCTTCTCTCAGGGTGGAGACAGAACAAATATTGTTAGAGAACAGAACTATATGCATTGTTTTCTGGTATTATAATTGTATAAACATAGGTTCAAATAGACGTTACTATAATTTCTCAAAACTCTGCTTGCAGTATTTATCCAGTATCAAAATTGTGTTGAAAAAGCAAACGCTGTGATTCTGTTCAGCATAACCAACATGTATTCCCAGAAAACTGATGAGTAGAAACACTTTGGGATAAAAACTGAACTTATATTGCATAGTGAACATCTCAGTATTTATAAAGGCCAGAGTAGTGCATCAGTCATTCAGAAACACTGTACATAGTTCAGGAAGACAGAATGCAATGAGGAATACTTTATAAATAAAAATAATACACAGAAGTTGGTCTTACAGTGTTTAGGAGTCAATAAGCCACCTGAATCACAGTATATGAAGCTGAGTCACAGTTTCAAACTGCACTCAGAACTATACGTAGCCAGGAGATATTTTTATCATCACTGATATGCTGGCGTAGCATGCAGTCATTATTATGAACAATAGCAGGGAGGAGGACAGAAAGCATACAGGTGTCAGAAACGTTTGTCATTTGTCATATATTAATCTCTGGGGACAGAAAATATGCCTCAGTAGCTTGATGAGAAAGGGCACTAAATGAATTTTGCCAGTCAACATAAAAGTGCAATCACAGCATCAGAAAGAGTTAATGTCAGATATACATCAGCAGAAAGGAATGCAGAGACATATAACAGCAAAGCCTATAGCTGCTTCCCATACAGATACTTTGCCCTACAGTTCTGACTACAGAACCCTATCAGAGCTGTGCAGACCCACGATCTTTAAAACTCCAGATGTAGGTAAAATGAAGCAATGAGGACAAAGCAAAAAGAATAACTATGGAAATGCTTAAAAAGTGTTCTAGAAAAGCAAGAGGGTTGTGTGAGGTCATTATTCAGCCTGCTTCATGCTTAAGGAAGACAAGTATGGCTTCCTTTCACATCACTAAAATACAGCATTCCAAGTTCCTCAGTTACATAAGCACTGAAGGTAAGGAATTGTGTATATTTAATGTAACCAAATACTATGTTTTACTTATTTATGAGGGGAAAAAAAAAAAATCTTTACTGTTCCATACACGTGGCAGCATTCATTAAGAGAAGCTTGCTTATGCTATCAGAGCACAGCTTGCAAATGGATTATTTTATTTAGGAGTTCAGGTTTACAAGGAATTTCTATAAAATTAATTTTAAAAAAAATCCTAAACACATACACACCACCCCTACCCCCATGCAACCAGCTTCCAACCGTCCTGAAAAAGAAGGAATGGGAAAGACAAAATCCAAACAATTCAACATCTTAAAAAAAATTTGCCTCTTTCTAAACTGGTAGATATAAGAATAGGATCTTAAAAAAATCCCTCTGCAGTTTCTAGCTTATCCAAGTGCAAACTTCCCTGATTGCCAGTGGGAACTTAGCGAGTGTATGAGAAAAGGGAAGCAGCAAGAAAACAGTTATTATGTACTACAGACATACACAACTCTGTGAACTGAGCCAAAACACTCCATGTTTACCACAAGTCACTATACTTGTTCTTAACCCAAAACAGGATGAGACTATCCTGTATTATCACATTATTCAACAACCAGCATGAATCTCTAAACATTTAATTTGCCAGAAAACTAAGTTTTTAGAGGTTTTGTTTACCAATACATACACACATGCAAGCACAGTAGGAGAAGCAATCTCACGAAGAGGTCCATCTGCTACTTAGAAGAAATTAAAAAGGAAGTCTTGGCCCCAAATTAATCTTCACAAAGTTGAGGAAGCATGAAGCAGCAGCACAAAACCAGTTATCTAGAATGCTTCACTGTTATTTCATCATTAATTTAGACTTGTTCCTGTAAGTATCAATCATTTCAATCAATCAGCAGAATTCTCCAGGGCACATAAAACCAAATGTAGCCAAATGTAAAAATTATTTACTAAAACAAATATTGACAAAGCTTAATGACCAGACTGCTGGTGTACTACCAACTTAAAACATTTGTTTGAACAGCTATATTAGCATAGATATCAGAATAACATGCAATTTCCAGCAGCTTTTTTTTTTCCACTAAAGAAAATAGCAACTGTGCTGGATCAGACCACAGGTTCACCTGCCCAAAAGGGCTTATACATATAAGTAAAAGCGTAAGAATAGGGCAAGAATATACTGATACTTCCGAGTTACTCTCCCAGACGCTTAAGAAACTAGCATATTTCTTCTCTCATCAATGTGTCTGTCTGAACCAGAAAGTTTTATACCTACATCATCTTGCAGCAATATCTCTCAAGGATTAATTATTCACTGCAAAAAAAGAATAATTGTTTTGTTTTAAACTTCCCAATAGCTAGGTCTATTTGATGTCACCTAATTCTTACGGAAGAAGAGAAAACAAAGCTCAGCCCCCTATTTGTATTTTCCATGCCTCCATCTGGTCACCTCTTTTCAGGCAGAAGAATCCTATTCTGTGCCATGTGGTTTGCACAGAAATACTTCCATATCTTTATTTTTGCTCACTCTTGTCACACAGCTCTTAACAGTCTCTGAAGTCTACTACATTCTTCTTTGAGCCTGAGAAATCTCAGATGCTTTTCCTGAGTGTTAATAACTAGTTCACCAGTATCTGTGCACTGTCCACAGCCTAGTTTCCCATAAAACATTCCCTGTAGAAGCAAGGCTGGATTGAGAGACTCCTTTCCACATTCAGTCTTACTCCTGTTTCTTGCTACAACATACTGCCCCTACAGCTATACCACTGCAACAGTTTCTGGACTGTGCTATAAATATGGCCAGTGAACCCATCCAGATTAAAAAAAAAAGGGGGGGGGGGGGGGGGGGGGGGAATGAAAAAAAAAGGGGGGGGGGGGGGGGGGGCGTGGAGAGGAAAGACTTGGAGGAATATCTTTCAATTTTGCTTCTGCCTCTTTTAAACAATTATTTAACTGATTTTTGCAGCACTGCCTCAAAACCGTAGCATCAGTGAAGCTCATCTCCCTTCTGGTATTTTTTGTCTCCTCATACAAAAAGAACTGAGGCACTTGCTATGTCCTTGGGCACTAAGGGCCCACTCTGTCCTATCTAGTATAGTACTTGTATTTTCAACCCAGAACCATAATGCAATTCACAGAAAAATAAAGACAAGCAGCTGATCTCAAGACTCACAGACCAGACTTGAGGCAATGCAGAGTCTTTAGTGGCAGCAGTAGATAAAGAAAGCAGCAAAATCAGAATGAAGGTTTTGAGCAGGGATAGCAGGCAAAGACTGCCTCCTGTGTCGTCTGGACCTAGCAGAGGACTGACAAAGCTTTAACTAAAATTTTGAATGTATGGGTAGGATTCATCTTACCTAACTTTACATGCACAGCCCATGTAGTCATACAAGGTAGTCACTCCCTTTATACTCAACATAGTGTGCGTGTGTGCACATGCATACACATATATAGTTACTCTTCAGGGGAGCTGTCAGCATAATCTAACTGTCTAGAGCAGGTATGCACGGTGAGATGAGATGGCTCCTGCTTAAAAATGCTTGATTCCACTAAGTAGATCTCCACTGACTGGCTGAGGAGCTCAGGGTGACAAGTCACATATAGGCACCTGACCTGTCAGCATCAGTACAGACACAATTATATTCACTAACCCCTTAAAATGAGAGGGGTATTTTCAGTGTATCAAAATAACACCCACAGATCTACATCATTCAACCCCTCATGCACATTTGGCATGCTTGTTGGTAAATTTTTTTAGACATTACAGTTTAAGGCAACAGGAGATAATGAAGCCAGACTACATATGCTACAACAGTTGGAACTTAATCAAACTGTTGACTTTTGATGTAACAGAAGAGAGCTACAAAAACTAAAAACACTAGGATGAAAAAATAAAAATGATACACATCGGACCTAAAATAGAGACAAGTATCAACTGAACCAAGAAAAACCACCAGTAAACCAAATACCAGGAAAAGGGTTGAATACAAGTGAAAAAGAAATCAAACAACAGGCAACAGTTAGCAAATGGCGCAACAAGCAGTCATTGCCAGGAAAGGAATTATTTTGTATAAACATGCATAGAGAAAAAGACTCCTATTAAAAACAAGGATTTCTAACCAACAGTCCACAGGTTACAGCAAACCCTCCAAGATGATTTTATATTGTTAGCAGCCTCCATCCAGTCACCCTGTTTCCAAGAGCTGCTCAGACACAAGCAAAGAGCAAACTCAGGGCAACAACCCACGTTTGGTCACCACCTTGCCCAGAGATACTCTGCCCTGGCTCCCTCCCTGTCATCTGTCCCAAACACAGAATTGATATTGCAGTGAAAGCACATGCAGTAACAGGAGAAGGGAAGGACCAGACAGCTCTTTGGAAAGGAGGCAGCTACAAGTGGGGTCCATCTACCAGAAGAATTCATCCCCACAAGAGTCTTATTGCCTACTGCTGCAAAACACTTATGAAAGATGGTAGGAATAGATTGTATGAGTTGTTCTGGTGGTACCCATCCGCTTCCAGATGTTTTTACCTTCAGATGCAATGGAGAGCATGGATTTACCATATGGAAGTGTGCACTTACATGCTGTGCATGAAGCACATGATAAATCCAGCATTCCTGGGAAGCACAAGTACATGTGCTGCAGCGCTCTGCCCAGGTGCTGGAAATCCATGCTTTTGGGACTCACCAAATTCAATGCACGTGCACAAGAAAACGGCTGCCCTGAGAGCAAGGTTCTGAAGCACGACAAATGAGAAATGGCACAAAAAACTCTTTAGCTTCTCATCTTCATTACCAGATTGGAGTGAGGCAAGGAGTATT